TATGACTTCTTTTATATGAAACATCTAGAGTAAGCAAATCCATAGAGACAGTAAGTAATGGGCAGTTGCCTCGGGCCGGAGAGGGGTCAGCCGCAGGAGTGACGGCTAATGGGTACAGGGTTTTTGTGGGGGATGATGAAAAAGTGCCAAAATTGACTGTGACAAATACATGAAAAGTTATTGAACTGTACAGTTTTTGTTGTTGTTTTTGTGACAGAGTCTTGCTCTGTTGCCCAGGCTGGAGTGTGCAGTGGCACGACCTTGGCTCACTGCAACCTCCGCCTCCTGGGTTCAAGCGATCTCCTGCCTCAGCCTCCCAAGTAGCTGGGATTACAGGCATTCACAACCACGCCCAGCTAATGTGTGTATTTTTTTGTAGAGACAGGTTTTCACCATGTTGGCCAGGCTGTTCTTGAACTCCTGACTCAAGTGATCTGCCTGAATTGTACACTTTAAATCAGTGAATTGTATGGCCTGTGAATTTTATCTCAATAAAGCTATTATAGTAATGTATTTTTTTTAAAAGGGTGGAGACCCAAGATGACAATTAAAATACATGCCATCATTTACTGGGAGCAGGGACTATTGCCAGGACTCATTAATCTCATGTATCTTTCACAATAACCCTGTTGGCTTATTTTCCCCATGTTACAGATGAAGACACTGAGATTCAGAATGACTAAGTAGCTGGCCCAACAGCACTTAGTTCTTTATAGAGCTGTGATTTGAACCCAAGCGCATGCTCAATTTGAAGTACTTTTGTTGCCTCCTTAGAAGGCACCAGGAGCTAAGGCACCAGGCTGACGGGACAGACAGGGGCCCAGATCGGGGCTTCCTTTCTCCCCTGCCACTACCTGGCCTGGGCAGCCAGAGCTCACCATCAGGGCCCTCTATCTCTCCCTCAGGCCTTCTCCCTGCATCTCCCTGTGTATGGCCCCTCCAGCAGAAACCCAGCGGAGGCACTGATCTGGTAAACAGATCTGACTCAGGCCTCTCCAAGGCAGCTCTCAAGCCTGTCCACCAAGTAGCCTCCAAGACTTACTGCATAGAAATAATAATACAGTGCACAAAGATGGACAGACAAAGATGTTCATCACAGCGTTGTTTCTAATACAGAAAAACTAGAAAGAACCTAAATGTCCAGCACTGGAGGACTGGTTATTCCACGACAGAATTCTGTGCAGCCCTTAAAAATCCTATAGCAGCCAGGTGTGGTGACTCACACCTGTAATCTCAGCACTTTGGGAGGCCAAGGTGGGCAGATCACAAGGTCAGGAGTTTGAGACCAGCCTGGCCAACATGGTGAAACCCTGTCTCTACTAAAAATACAAAAATTAGCCAGGTGTGGTGGTGGGTACCTGTAATCCCAGGTACTTAGGAGGCTGAGGCAGGAGAATCACTTGAACCCAGGAGGTGGAGGTTGCAGTGAGCAGAGATTGTGCCACTGCACTCCAGCCTGGGCGATAGAGCAAGACTCCATCTCAAGGGAAAAAAAAAAAGAAAATCCTATAGCAGAAGCATCCAAAATCCTATAGCAGAAGGATCCTCACTGACATAGGAAAATGTTCACAATATGTCAAGTGAGAAAAGCAGACCCCTGCTAGCTGCTGCCCCTGCCAGCCAGGCCCACCCCTGCTTGCACCTACAATCCGGCCACATTAACTCTCTTCTGCTCCCCCAAATGCCCCAGACTTTTCTTCTCAGGTCTTTGCGGCTGCTGCTCCCTCTGCCTGAAATCCACTTCCCATCCCGTGTCATTCTCTTTCAAGCTGGCTAACTAGCTCTGCCGCAGCCTTCAGGTCTCAGCTGAGCTCTCTCTTGCCCTGGGAAGTACCCTTGGGCCCTCAGGCTGGGGCGGGGTCCCTCCTCTGTGCTCTCACAGCCCTGTGGGACCCCCATCATGGCACCCGTCACCCTGTGACTGGCCATTTAACTAATGCCACCTGCATTTGACTCCAGAAGATGAGCCCAGACCTGTCTAACTGGCCTGACACTGTTTTCTTAGAGTCTGATGTCAGAGGAAGCCTCTCCCAGTGACTTCTGTGGCAACTGGAGTGAAATCCGGTCTCCTCTTCATGTTCTCCAAGGTCTTGCATGGTCTGGCCAGTGTCCATGCCCCAACTCATCGTCTATGTTTTTTCTCAATCATTCCGTTCCAGCCACATGGGCCTTCTAGATGGTTCTCTAACATGCCGAATGCATGCCTGCCTCAGGACCTAGGCGTTTGCTGTTTCCTCTGCCTAGAATAAATGCCTGAATGACCAAGACCTGATGCTTCACCCCAACTGGCTGTCCTCTGGGCCCTGCTCTTCTCACCTGTAAAACAGAGATGGCCATCTGCCCAGTCTCTCTCTCTTCGTCCCCCTCCCTCCCCTGCAGGCCGTTGTGAGGGTCCCATGAGGCCGGGGGCGAAGCATGTTTGATGAAGCATGCAGGGCGGACGAACCTTGAGATATTTTAGGGGCCTTTGGAAGAACTCGCCCATTTAGCACAGGTGTCACAAGCACATTCTCATGGTGAATACTTGATTGGCCTCGTGTCCTTGAGAGGCTTTTCAAAGTCTCATCTGAAACTCCTCATCAAAAAGCTCTAGTAAAGCCAGTTCAAAGGGAGCCAATCACAATTCTTGCTGTACTTTATGCAACCAATCGGGTCAAGTATAATAAGACTAAAATTTATGTCACAAATAAATCAATCCTACTATGATTTATCTTTGCTAAGCTTGGGGGACTGGAGAGGGAAAAATTATAGTGACTAGTAGTTGTTATAATGGCATAGAGAGCTGGGGACCCAGCTTCCTTGTGGACCAAGAAGGGTAGGGCGAGGGCAGGAGGGAAGACAAAGGCAGGCTGTTTCCCACTTTGCCCCAGGCTGGGCCTGCCTAGGCTTGGCAGGCCATGTTCTGAGCTCATTGCCCCAGGTGCAGCCTGGCCTTTAGCACGGAGTCGCTGAGGCTGGGCAGGGCTTCTGTGGAATCAGGCATCTGGTGACTGCTTATCCAACCTTCCCAAGCCAGGAGGGCCTGGGGCAGGTGGCAGGGTATCTTCAGCCCTCTGCCTTCCCGGTGTGAGTCTCTCTCTCTCTCTCTCTTTTGTTTTTGTTTTTGAGACAGGGTCTCACTCTGTTGCCCAGGCTGCAGTGCAGTGGCACAATCACGGCTCACTGCAGCCTGGACCTCCTGGGCTCAGGTGATCCTCCCACCTCAGTCTCCCCAGTAGCTGGGACTACAGGCATACGCTACCATAGCCAGCTAATTTTTTGGTGTTTTTTTGTAAAGATGGGGTTTTACTGTGTTGCTCAGGCTGGTTTCAAACTCCCAGGCTCAAGGGATCTGTCTGCCTTGACTTCGCAAAGTGCCTGGATTACAGGCGTGAGCCGCCATGCCTGGCTGAGCCTTTCTTTGTTACAAACTTAATTTTCTCTTCTCCCAGGAGAGGCCCCAGATGCCAGATGGGATGCCAGAGGCTCCAAATAATCAGCTCTCAGGGCTCCTCTGCTCTTTTGGCCCATTCCTGGCTCCCTGAGTGTTTAAGGGGGTACCTAATGTCATACATACATACAATAGGCTATTTTCAAATTCTTACTAAATGACTCTACCTGAATGTCTGAAAGGTTTAAAAATATTTTTCAGGCTAAGAAAGGAAGGACATTCTGACAGGTGCCACAAGATGGATGAACCTTAAGGACATTGTGCTAACTGAAACAAGCCAGTCACAAAAAGACAAATACTGATTGCAGGTATATGAGGTGTCTAGAGTGGTCAAATTCATAGAGACAGAGGGTACAATTGTGATAAGCAGGGCACTGGGGAAGGGGAATGAAGAGTTACTGTTCAGTGGGTGCACAGTTTCAGTTTTGTGAGATGAGAAAGTTCTGGAGACCTGTTGCACAACAATGCACATATACTGAACGTTTTCAACCTAACGAAGGCAAATTAATATAGCTAGAGAGTTTACTTGGGCCAAGGTTGAGAATTGCAGCCCAGAATTACTTCCCAAGTTACTTTGAGAAATACTCTGGAGAACAAAGAAGATGCTCCAGGATTTTTAGAAGGGACAAATCATGAGAGGGGGCAATTACAAAATTGTTTTTCAGGAATTCTCATTGGTTTCCAGAAATGACATTGACTGTTGATTGGCTCTACCTGGTTGTACTATAGGATATGAGTTATGCTGTCTAGTGGGGATCAGTGTTAGGTTAATTTATAGATTTTGGTGGTGATACTCAGCCTAGAGACCATAGAGCAGGCAGCTTTGAAATGATTATTTAACTCCGAGTGGGTGGGAAAACATGATTGGTGTCTCATTCCAGTGCCTCTCTGGGCCTCATCATTTAAAAGAGCCTTGCTTTTCTTGAATAAAATAATTCTTTTCTTTCTCATTTCTCCCTTTTGATCAAAAATCTTTTTTCTGGAGAGCATTGATTAAAGTCTAAGTGTCAAGGTGTTCCTCATCACTGGGAGGGCTCATTCCTGGACAGTCCTGTCTCATATAGAGGGGGAAGGAGAAAATGTCTCAGTGAGGAATTTTAAGGGTGCCCAGAAGCCGAATTGGTATGGCATCACAGCGTGGCAAAAAATGAGACCTCAGTCAAGTCATTGATTTATATAGCTGCTGTCATTTGTTAAATCATCTCTCGTTTTCAGAACACTGGGATTTTAGTTTGCTTTGGAGAAGTAAAACAATGAGAGATATATAACAATAATTTGAATAGTACAAATTTAATGTTCATAAGTATTATCACAAAGAGAATTTGTATGCCAAAATAAAAAAAAAAAAAAAAGAACCTATTCCATTAGGGAGCCAACTTGAAACATCATGAAAAAAATTAAATCCAAGTTTTTCTTTAGAAACTTGTAACAAAAAATAATTCAGGATTCAGTTCAAATTTTGGACAAATAATAAAAACTCAAAGTCCGTGGTCAGGGCTAGAAGCTAACAGGTGTGCTATTGAAACAATTTTTCTCTCTCCTGTCACCCCAATTTTAGCAAAGATAAATCATGGTAGGACTAATTTCTTTGTAAAATAAATTTTAGTCTTATTATACTTGACCTGATTTTTTACATAAAGTACAGCAAGAATCGTGATTGGCTCCCTTTGAATTGGCTTTATGGAAATTTTTCATAAGGAATTTCAGATTAGACTTGTCAAAGCCTTGCCTTCAGACTGTGCTTATAATACCTGTACTAACTGGGTGAATTCTTCTCTCCTCAAGGCCCCTAAAATATCTTAAGTTTCCTTGGACTTCTCAGAAAGTGACATTCTTTACTTACCTCAAGGTCAGGAACCCTGTAAGGGAACCACATAGACAAGATATCAACCCAGTCTTTTACCAAGCCTATTAGCTTTGTAAAGTCAACTCAATCCCTCAAAGCAGTCTGAAAATCTATGAAAATAACTCATTCCAGTCAAAGCCTCGGTAAAATAACCAGCGTTCTCAATGGTGTCAGGTTCTTATTGAAATAACTATATTGCAAATATAGTTTACAATAACGACACAAATAGTTACTTTGAGAAGTGCAAATAACTATATTGCCATAAAATAAGAACACTCACAAATAGTTTCTGAGTTCTGGAGCAATCAGATAGGAAAGCAAATGTGTTAATTTGCTCACAAAAGTATAGTTCACCCAATTGCTATAAGTAGCTGAAAAGAAAAGTTTTCTTGACTCTGGAAAACAACGCACAAAATGAATCCACAATATTTCAAACAACAAGTCATAAAACATCATTTTAGACCTCCATTAGTTAAGTACAATGTAATTAATTCTTATTCTGCTTGATGCTGGGTTAGCAATCTTCACAAACTCCTGTGTTTTAAATTAAGGTTCTGGAAGTTTTTCCCTAGACCAATGTTATGATCTTAAAACTTATCAGAAACCTGACAAGTATTTAAGGATACTTGTCATTGTCCTTTCCACAAATTTCTTGAAGAAGCAGCTAATTTTGGACTATAGCTGACTATAAGACACTTTTTGAGAAGAATCAAAGTCAAATAATAATTGTCCAGGGATGATAAAAAACTTAGAATAGCCATGGTTAAAGACACAGTTGATAAGGAAATTTGGTTATTTCTGTGGCATACAACAATTTAACATAATGTTCATAATTATGACTGGTAACATACCAAGACATATCAGATTTTTTTGAAATTTCATACAACTTCAACACACATATTAATAACAGGTTTACATAAATACAATTTGAAGAAAATTAAACACCATTTCTTATTTGGTAATGCTTCCCATATGATTTTAACATACCAAATAAACTTGGACTTTCGAGGTTTATTTTTTTTGAATGTCCAAAAGTTAGTTTGAAATCAAAAAGACTCAATTTAGAATTTGAAATTTGATTTTGAGAAGTATGTCAAAAATAAAGGCTTAAAACACTTGATATCAAAATAAGATCACAGGTCAGTATAAAATTATAGTCACTCGTCTAAAAAGCAATTATTCAAATATTTCAAAAAGCAAATCTTTACTCTCTCATAGACAGGAGATTCAGTTTTCCAATCAAAAGACCTGATAAGGACAGCTTAAGACTAACAGAATATCTCTTCCTCTCCCCCGTTTCTTCTTTCTCTTTCTTTCCTTCCTGCCTCAGCCTCCTGAGTAGCTGGGATTACAGGCATCAGGCACCACGCCCGGCTAATTTTGTATTTTTAGTAGAGACAGGGTTTCACCATGTTGTTCAGGTTGGTCTCGAACTCCCGACCTCAGGTGATCTGCCCGCCTTGGCCTCCCAAAGTGCTGGAATTACAGGTGTGAGCCCTAATTTTAATAAAACCTTATAAATAAATCCATCTACTCTCAATCAGCTTTGACCACACAAGATATTTCCATAAACCTTTTGTAATCTCTTACAATTTTTCCATTCCTCTTTCTTTTCCCAACTTTCTATATCCATTCAGTTAATCTATTTCATTTTTTCCTTCTTTTATCCCAATTTAACACAGTCTTTAAATAACCTCTAAACTAGGCAAAATCACATTTTCTTTAACAAAAACCGTATACTTATGTCTTGTAATCTTCCATCCTAAAAACATATCTTACTTTCCTTATATATTTGAATACAGAATTATTTTCCTTCTGGTCTCTAGTATTAGCTACCATATATTAGTCAGAATTTTAAATCTTAGTAATCATAATTTATACTGAAAACCTAAGAAGTAATTTTTTTTTTTTAGACAGAGTCTTACTCTGTCACCCAGGCTGGAGTGCAGTAGTGCGATCTTGGCTCACTGCAACCTCCGCCTCCCAGGTTCAAATGATTCTTCTGCCTCAGCCTCCGAAGTAACTTGGACTACAGGTGCACACTACCACATCAGCTAATTTTTTGTAGTTTTAGTAGAGACAGGGTTTTACCTTGTTGGCCAGGCTGGTCTCGAACTCCTGACCTCAGGTGATCCACCCGCCTTGGCCTCCCAGAGTGCTAGGATTACAGGTGTGAGCCACTACACCCAGCCAGAAGTAATTTTTAACTGTCAGTTATGTACTAACAATTTATGAATACACATTTTATAATAGTTGGAAACACAGGCTTTCTAATAGAACAATTGTTCAATGTGGAATAGGATATTTTTACTAACAAATCTTATTTATTTATTTAGAGACAGGGTCTTAATATGTTGCCTGAGCTGGAGTATAGTGGTGTGATTATAGCTCACTACAGCCTCAGACTTCTAGGCTTGAGTGATCCTCCTGCCCCAGCCTCTCAAGTAGCTGGGACTACAAGCATGCAACACCACTCCTGGCTAACTTTTAATTTTTTATTTTGTAGAGAAAATGTCTCACTATGTTGCCCAGGCTGTTCTCGAATTCCTGACCTCAAGCTTTCCAAAGTGCTGGAATTCTAGGTATGAGCCAGCACACCCAGCTCCTAAATATCTTTTGTTTCTATGAAACAAGAAATCAAAAGTATATGAGCTTAAAATTATATGTAGGAATTAATGTCTTAGCATTATGTCTTCTTTGGAAATGATCTAGATATTCAATAAATATTCATGATTTAATTTAGCTTGGCAAAACCTAAAGGTATAGTTACCAAAAACGTTTTCCCTTTTGTGGCCATTGCCAAAGCAGGAGGAGCCAAAACGAAATTTGATCCCTTTGTGACTGTTTGTTTGTTTGTTTCTGAGACAGAGTCTCGGAGTCTCACTCTGTCACCCAGGCTGGAGTGCAGTGGCACGATCTTGGCTCACTGCAGCCTCTGCCTCCGGGATTCAAGTGATTCTCCTGTCTCAGTCTCCCAAGTAGCTTGACTAAGGAACTTCCCACAACCAGAGTTTTGACCCATGATAGTATAGGATTTGGAGGACGGTGAGTGCCCATCCCAGGAAGTGTGCAGAGCCAAGGCTCAGTGGGCAGCTGTCATCAGGAAGAGGATTCCTGCACTGGTGACAGGCTGAAGGAAATGACTTATCAGGCCCTTTATTTGGTCTTGGTCTCTCTGGATAAGGGTCCCAAGATTCCCTCCCTTGTTGTGGCCACTTAGCTGGGATTACAGGTGCACACGACCACGCCCAACTAATTTTTGTGTTCTCAGTAGAGATGGGGTTTCACCATGTTGGCCAGGGTGGTCTCAAACTCCTGATCTCAGCTTCCCAAAGTGCTGGGATTACAGGTGTGAGCCACTGTACCCAGCCCTAATTAATTTTATTAAATAACGTATTTTTTTTCTTTTTAAAAAATGGAACACTTCAGAATTTGCATGTCATCCTTGCACAGGGGCAATGCTAATCTTCTCTGTATTGTTCCAATTTCTATCAATCTATCTATTTATTTATTTAGAGACATAGTGTCTCTCTGTCACCCAGGCTAGAGTGCAGTGGTGCGATCTTGGCCCATTGCAACCTCCACTTCCCGGGTTCAAGCAATTCCCCTGTCTCAGCCTCCCAAGTAGCTGGGATTACAGGCATGTGCCTTCATACCCAGCTAATTTTTGTATATTTAGTATAGATGGGGTTTCAGCATGTTGACCAGGCTGGTCTCAAACTCCTGACCTCAGGTGATCCACTCACCTCGGCCTCCCAAAGTGCTGGGATTACAGGTGCGAGCCACTACACCCAGCCTTTGTTCCAATCTTAGTATATGCACTGCCCAAGCGAGTACCTACCTCACTGAATTTTAGAGAGCAAGGTAGGAAATTTACATTTCAAAGCACAGAGAAGGAATTTAAGGTTTCCAGAAGACCACTGAAGTTTTACATTTTTTTCCTTCAGCAAATCATACCAACATGAAAGGAAGGGAACCGAGGAAGGGACTCTCCAGAGAATTAAACGAGGGGTCTCAGTCACCTGGAAGAAATTCCCCAAATCAAGATCCAAAATAGAAAAAGCAGAAAGGCCCTATTTTAAAAATTATAGTCTGAATATCTGCTTTTAATTAAGTCAATTTTGGACTATAGAGCTCTTAAGAAAATCTTTTTATCAGGCTTTAGCCAGGTAAATAACGAACATTCTTTGTGTGTGTGTGTGTTGGCTTTTCCTTTCTGAAATTTAGTATAAGAAGAGTTTTGGAGGAAGGGCATATTTGTTTATTAGAGGTCTAGGGTAACCACTCTTTTTTTTTGGGATGGAGTCTCACTCAGCTACCTAGGCTGGAGTGCAATGGTACATTCTCGGCTCACTGCAACCTCCACCTCTCAGGTTCAAGAAATTCTCCAGCCTCAGCCTCCCTAGTAGCTGGGATTACAAATGTGCACCACCACGTCTGGCTAATTTTTTTTTTTTTTTTTTTGTATTTTTAGTAGAGATGGGGTTTCACCATGTTGGCCAAGCTGGTCTCAAACTCCTGACCTCAGGTGATCCGCCCACCTCGGCCTCGCGAAGTGCTGGGATTACAGGCGTGAGCCACTGTGCCCGGCCTTAATGTGTTTAATAATATATTATGTTATGAACCGTTGCTAGCCAAGTGGCCACAACAGGGGAGGGAATCTTGGGACCCTTATCGAGAGAGACCAAGACCAAATAAAGGACCTGATAAGTCATTTCCTTCAGCCTGTCACCAGTGCAGGAATCCTCTTCCTGATGACAGCTGCCCACTGAGCCTTGGCTCTGCACACTTCCTGGGATGGGCACTCACCGTCCTCCAAATCCTATACTTATCAGGTCCTTTATTCGGTCTTGGTCTCTCTAGCAACGGTTCATAACATAATATGTTATTAAACAGCTTAAGTCTGGGCAGGGTGGCTCACGCCTGGAATCCCAGCACTTCGGGAGGCCGAGGCAGGTGAATCACCTGAGGTCGGGAGTTCGATACCAGCCTGACCAACATTGAGAAACCCCATCTCTACTAAACATACAAAAATTAGCCAGACGTGGTAGTGCACGACTGTAGTCCCAGCTACTCGGGAGGCTGAGGCAAGAGAATTGCTTGAACCCAGGAGGTGAAGGTTTTGGTGAGCCAAGATCATGCCATTGTACTCCAGCCCAGGCAACAAGAGCAAAAATCTGTTCCCCCCCCAAAAAATAAGTTACATATAACATAATAAATATATTTACATAATATTACATTTTCATTCATAATTACATTAAAATTTACACATTCACATTAATATACATATCTATAATTATTTCATTCTTACATTTTGGTTGTATACTTTTAGGTTAACTTCTTCATGTAACATTGATTTTGTAATGTCATTTTCTTTAGAATAAGAAGATACTTTAGTCTTTTCTCTAGTACAGTTGACCTTTTTTTTTTTTTTTTTTTTT